GGGAACAGACCGTTTTTTGTGGGGAATTTCAGCTCCTTCAATTTTAGTATAATAAAGTTTTAAATGGCATTTGCTTTCATATAACGAATAATTTACTTGTAGATGGAAGAAAACCGCAACCACTTCAGCAAAAAATCCTAAAACATAAGTACATAACGTCGTTCAAAGAACAAAATCGCGTATCAAGAAAATGCAAAACCTCGTATGAGAGGCTATCGAATGTTAAACGCAACTGGCAATTCGTTGCCACAGTCTGCGATAGAGAACCATCGAGATGTTTTAACATCCGCTGGCCAGCAGCGAGACCGAGATGACTTGGTCGATTGCACAGGTCTGCAAAAAAATGGGTTCGGAATGTTCTATAAAAGTGTAGTGTGATTTCCGAAGTAATTTTTTGCGTAGAATCCGAATCCGGGGTTTAAATTGCTCTATCACGTCAGGACTTTGAGATATCCTAACCTAAAAGTGCAAAAAACGCTGTTTTTGCCCATTTTTGAGGTTATGTAGCTACGAAGATTTTGCTCTTCATAAAAAAGTAGACATGGTATTTTAAAGTATAAGTCTTCCTCTTTTAAATGCCGTTGAGTTTGCTCAAATTTCTTAATATCGCATTTTGAAGTCTCCATGTTTGTGAATGTAATCGACCGTATCACGTCTCATGTTATCTCAATGGATTTTCGAATATCACAGAGGGCACGACAAGTGTGTTGTTGTCCATTATGATCCACAAGACGAACCTTTGATGTGGCTAGTAAAACGGTCCGGTCACCGTGGACTAGAAAAGACCGAACCGGCTCTGACTGTCATTGTTGTCGTGGGTATACCTGCGGCGTGTGCTCTACAGATATACCTGGCTTAGAGTTACGAGTCGGCACTACTGATGTGTTCGTTACTTCGGCTGCTGGTGCACTGACTGTATCTTCTTCTCTGCAGAGAAGTGTGTGGTGCCGGTGATGGCAGCGTATACAATCCCGCGACGGGCAATCTCGCGCCCCATGGTCGACTCTGGTGTCCCAGCGCTCTGTTACCGGAAGGTTGAGGAACCGCTGACACTTGTGAAGGCGATGTGGACTTGCGCACAATGGGCAAGAAATACTGGCCGCCTTCCTTGAACGGGAAGATTGAGATGAATTAACGGCTGCTACATGTGCCTTGACACACCGTGTTGCTGGTTGTCGATGCGTCGTTGCTACATTAGAAGCCGCCTGAAGCAAATTGTTTGCGCGCTTCTCAATGAATGTTATGAAGTCATGCAAATTGGGAATGTTGTTAGTCTGGAGACTCATGCCCCACTCATACCGCGTGGTAGTTGGTAGCTTGGGCAGCAGAAGTGGCACTGTGAGTGCATCCCATTGAGTTACTGGAAGATCCATTACAGCTAGCGCTCGCATAGCGTTTTGTACGGTGTCGACAACTCGAAGAAGGGTCTTCTGCGATTCCGTCGGGTGATTCGGCAAATCCAGGAGGCGGTTAACCTGCGACTCAACTAACAAACGCTTATTGTCATACCTACGTTTCATTTCCTTCCACATGTCCTCGTAGCCACCGGTGTATAGGCCTCCAACCAATGGCCCGTTATCTACATTGACATGTTGACGCAATTTACTCAGCTTGTAGCTGGAATCTAAGTCAGTGCGGTTGTGGACCAGTGATTCAAACAGGTCTTTGAAAGACAACCAATTCGCCGGATCACCATCAAAGACTGGAATTTTAATTGGATCTAACCGCATATCCTGTTGACTGGTCACAGGAGGCTTGGGCTCTGAATTGCCTTTACCGCCCATTCTCCTACGCACTCGAACACAAATATTGGTATAGAGCGTTTCAGTAGCAGCGAAACATTCGTCGCGGGCTTCCAATTCGCTGGCCTGTGCAAGAGATACTAGATCCGCGTGATACTCTGCAAACCTTTCAAAATGTTTGTTCACTTGCGCCAGCATAACCTCGCACTCTATGGGATCTGGATCAAAGTTGGCCGCCTCGGTAATTTTCCCAAGACGAACAAATGATGATTGTGCAGATGCACGCAGATTTAAACTCGCCATATCGCAGTATATTTGCGATCGATCCTCACAGGAGGCACCAAAAAATGTTTGGGAATGAATTCGGCAAGTAGGAAACCACGTTGTCCAAAATAAAAACGAGTAAGTGTCTTTCACTTGTTTATTGATTCACGTTCTTGAATATTCTACCCTATGATCACCAGATACTCTTTATATACATACAGAAGTATATGAGCAAAATACATACATATGTGTTCTACTCTTAAGTACATCAGCTATAACAACGTCTAACGCTAGAGCGAGAACAATAATAATACGCATAATATGGATGTTAAGCGATGACATTGCAAAAAATGAACTAATGTTGGTTGTATTGGTGCATTCAGCGGGTGTTGATGAGCAGAGCTGAATGTAGGTATGTTCCTGTACTAACGATGCCCAACGTTGCCTTTGGCCAATACCTTACTGTAACTCTTGAACATCCTGCCCGGCTGAACCCGTGCGGTTCAGTAATTCTTCAGATGGGCCTGTTAGTCGGCATAATTTCTGTACCGGCCGCTGACATCGGTGTTTGGTAAAAAGTCCGCGAACCAAACCATCACTGCCCGGATGCACGTCAATGACCCTTCCTATGCGCCAAAATGTAGGGGGGAGATTCTCATTCCGTATGAGAACGACGTCGTCGCGCTGTATGTTTGGCTCCGGTCTAGTCCATTTACTGCGAGACTGAAGGGTATTTATGTATTCGCTTTGCCAGCGACGCCAAAAGTGCTCCAGCATTCGTTGAAGACGTTGCCAATAATGCAACCGATTTTCTGGAACTTCTGGTAATGGAGGTTCCGGACGACAATTCAACGGGCGGCCAATAATGAAATCACCCGGAGTGAGCGCTACACCACCCTCTGGGTCATCGTATAAAGCCAGCAATGGCCGTGAGTTGAGGCAGGCTTCTATACGCGTCAAAAGAGTGTAGAGCTCGGGGAAGCGCATTGTTTGACGACCCATGACTCGCAATAGATGCTTTTTGGCAGAACGCACCGCTGCTTCCCAAAGGCCACCGTGATGAGGTGACGATGGTGGAATAAACTTCCAGTGGGTTCCTACAGCCACCAGGTGTTGTTGTGCAAACACGTTCACCCATGCCTGTAAATCCTCCTGCATTTGTCGATTCGCA